CGTGCCGTATACATTTCAAAACCACCCATGCCTGCGTGTTTGTGCGTGGGCATTTGCTTGAACCAGAACGGGTGCCAACCATGTAATCAGCTGCGCCACAACAACGCTGGCGAATGCTGTTATTCCTACATACTGCTCCGTCTAATGTGACCAACAAGATTGACTCGTACGAGGTAGCAACCATACAGATCAAGATGCCGTATGAACCCCTGCAAGCAGCAATACTTCACACCGCACAACACAAAGCATCGCCTTTTGCGGGCTGCCGGTCGAGCTGTGCTACCCTCAAACTTCGGCGGCTGCATGACTAGGAGACACGGCTGCGCACGGGCTGCAGCAGCTCCAAACAGACTTACCTCACTTAAAAACCATAACATGGTTGAGCCACCCCTCGTATGACCTAATACAGAGTGCCGGTCTGCTACGCGCAGGCTCAGGCGGCGGTGCCGAAGAGACCCGATGCGTCCTGCGACCCCGCAGCGCCCGTGCTTTCACCAGGAGCAGCTACGGTACGAGCACGGGCCAAAGCGCCAGTGACGAAGTCTTCCTTGGAGGCAGGCTTGTGCTTCACACAGGCCCTGGCAACTTTCTCGGCCGCGTAGCCCGTGAAGAAGACGTTGTTGGCAGACAAGATGAAGAGCAGAAAGGTGACGAAGGCTTGGACAGCCAGTCGTGGAGCTGCTCAGCGGCTTTCTGCACCTCTGGTTCAGAGCGCCCCGGTGCAGGAGCGCTAGGGTCCACGCGCCGCTTCTTGACAGCGCGAAAGGATGCCTGGACGGGCCCCTGACCCGCAATGCCTTTACCGAAGTCGAGGACTTCCAGGTGCGGCTTCAAAGTCTTGGCTTCGCCCATGGCAGCAGCATACAAATCTTCTTTGAGGATGCGCTTGAGGTTCTCGTGCTCCAATGCCTCCACTGCGTGGAGTAGGGCTGCAGCTGTCATACTGATGCCCGCGCCCACATGCCAGGCATCAGTGGTCAAATTTGCGCAGAGGTGGCTGTGGTAAGCCGCCTTGCGATTCCCCTTCTTGGTGGCATCCCATAGCTCTGGAAGCTCCATGTCACCGAGGGCCGATTTGCCATAGGGTTCCAGGAGTTGCGCGGCGACTGAGTCATACCCGAACAGCTTCGTGTGCCGGCCGTGTGCTGCAGAGGCCGCATCAGGGACAGCGCCGGCAGCACCGCTCCCAAAGAGGCCTTGCGCGTCCATGACGGGCTCCAGCAAGATGGGGGCAGGCAAGGAAGGAGGCTGTGTGATCCGAAATAGCTACAGCGGCATGCGAGTTAAAGACCTCAGTCGCAGCCCATGATGGGCAATCACATCGTTCCGTTGGAACAGCTTGCGACACGGTGCACACATTCGCCATGAAACCGGAACAGTAGCGAACCCACTGGAACTCATTACGCAACGCAGGCAGCTGGACAACTAGGCAGGCGTATCGTACTGATGCAGTTGAAGATTTTCTGCAAGCACGGCAACGTTGTCCGGGTCCTTCAATTGCGTCAAGGTGAAACTCACCGAATGAACGAGTCCTCAGAGCTCTCAGAGCAATCCGGAGAACAGCTCATTTCGGGTTCCTCTTCTGGCCCGCTTTCGGAATCTGAGCTACCCTCCTGATCTACATCCATCGATGACTCCTCACTTTCCGAGGAACCTTCGTCTCGGTCTTCAAGGTCGGACGACGAGCTCTCACTGAGAGGTCCAGGGTGCATCTGATCACCTCCGCCGACAGGACGCCAATCACTTCGCCGCAGACGCCCCAAGTGGTACACATCCGCTCGGGTCGTGCCCGCGAGGCTCCCACGTAGGCGTAGCCGGGGTCGGCGCGACGCCGGTCAAACCATAGCGCCACCAGTTCTAGTGTGGCGCCTTGCGCCCTTCTCATTGTGGTGGTGTAGGCGTAGGTGACCGGCAGGAATTTGAGACGCTGTTGCTGAACTCGATGAACCAGAAGCAGGACCCCTTCCAGCGTCTTTACCACGAAGACGTCCGGCGCAAAGACCTGAGTGATCACGCCCATGGCACCGTTGACGAAGCCTCGCGCCTTGTCGAGGTTCTGAGTCAGTCGGACTCTGGCCCCAACGACGGCGATGAAATTCTGCTCGCCGTAGGCGGGATCGGAGAGGATGCCGTGTCCCGCGGCCAGCGCCTGCGCCACGAGCCAAGCAGGCTTGGTTGAAGCGAGCAGCGCCCTGATTGGTAACAGCTAAAACTGTGCAGTGCTTCCCAAGGGCAGCCTCCAGTCGCAATACCTCTCTGGCAGCAGCGTGCAGATTCGAGCTGGCGGGCAGTAGTCGGTCAGCAAAGAAGCTGCGCAGGGCCTCACGGCTCGGCTGTTCGCACGGGCGTGATGAAGAAAATCCAACATGGCCCTGTCAGTGGAGCGCGTGGGCATGTGGCAGAAGCTTGATATGCTGCAATGCTCCTGCTTGCACCGCCTGCTCCAGATCCTCTCCCAACTGCTGCCTGCCGCCAACCGGCTGTAGCTGTTGAAAGTCGCCCACAACAACGACAAAAGGACAAGGAGACAGCTCACCCAAGGCCACCTGCAGCCTCTGCCACACCGCGGCATCGATCTGGGACACCTCATCGATGATCAGGTCGTAGTTGCGCAGCCGACCAGGAGGAATGTAGGCCGCGCCTCGATCACGGCCCACTTTAAACGCAGAGTGGATTGTCTCGACCGTTATGTCCAAGCCGGGCGGAATGCGACTGCGATGGCCGGCCACCAGCAGCCCAATGGGCCCTCCCAGCAGCACGCGGCACCCGGTCCGAGCTGCAGCTTCAGCCGCTGCCAGGAGCACTTCCGTCTTGCCGGTGCCCGGCGCGGGCGAGGTTGCGCTTCCTCGGCATCTGGCGGCTGGATGCCTGCGGCAATTGCATCCAGAACTGCCTGTTGCTCCGGGGACCAGACCCTGCGAGGAGGATCTCGAATGGAGCGAGCCGACCAATCCTCCGGTCGTGCTCTTCCGGCGGCCACGGCTTGCAGCAGTGTAGCTCCGGCGCGGATGCGCGCCGCAAAGGTTGCCTGCCGATCTTCGCCCAGGCCGCGCCAGCGCAGCTCCTCCACCATGGACTCCAATGCAGCCTCCACATCCCCATCATATAGACGAAGCAGCGTTGCCAGGTGCTGCGTGTTCTCGGGGACGAGCTCATCGGCAGGGGACAGAGCTCCGCTTCGAGGCAAGGTAAAAAGGAGGCTGTGTAGGCGCCGCAATAGATGTCCAACAATTCGAAAGGCCAAGTCATGGCAATGGCACACTTCTTGCCGAATCCCCGGCCACGAGTGTTGCGCTCTCGCACCACATAATTCCAAGCGTCTTCACCAGCTTTGATGTACTGATGCAGACGAAACAGGCGACACCACTCCACGAAACTTCGAAGCCGAAGGACCTGGCCATCCTCTGCTACCTCTTGAACTTGGGCATGTTCTGGATGTACTGCGGACAGGCGCTCTTGATACGCCATATAAGTATGCCTGTACTTGTTGACGGCCGTGCTGCCAGGGATGGGAGGATACATTCTCTCGCCGGCGAAAGAAGACTCCACCATCGGCAGGCCAGCGAAGTACATGGCCATCTCCTGCTCCAGCGGGGATCGCTTGCAAAGGAGCCGGTACACTTGCCGCCACCGGGAAGTCTCCGCAGGTGTCCCTCGTGCCTCATCTCCCTTCTGGAAGCGCAAAGAATCCGAGGCCTTGGCGACGTACCCGGCCACGTAGCGCAGCAAATTGTGTTCTGAATGTCCGCGCTGCGCATCAACAGCTCCACAATCAAAGACCTCCTCCAAGAGCCGCACCAATGGACTCGTCTGAACTCCCACACCGCTGCGGCCGCTCAACTCCTCTATGGAGACCCCGGGATTGAACTTCACCCACGCCACGGCGTGCGCATGAAGGGTGCCACGTCCTTGGAACTCAAAGCGATAGGTGTAGTGCTCGATCTCCGCAATTCCCAAGTCGGCCGCCTGGGCCTTGTTCTTCCACAGCATGTCACCCAGGATGGCCCCGATGCAGTTGTGCATGTGCATGGTCAACCAGGCTTGACATGTGCTGAGATCATCCTGGTCTGCTTTGCCGAACATGCCCCCGTGTAGGGGGAACCTCCACTCAGCGGGAGCAATGGTGAAGAAGAGATTTGGGAACGTCTGGGCCTGCCGACACACGTCCTCCAACTTCTGTGCTTGGTGGTGCCAGTATTGTTCAAACTGCGGCATGTCCGCAGCAGCCTCATCTGGCGAGATCTTCTGCTTCTCAGCAGCAGCGACCACTGAGGTAATTGTTTTCGCCATGGTCGCGTCATGTAAGAAGCGCTGCAACGTGTAGTCCTTGACAAAGTCCACGTTACGAGAGAGCACTTTGCGAAGCCAGTGAGTCTTGGCGCTCGGCGTGGAGGACGCTTTCAGGATGCCCAATTCTTTCAGCCGGTTGGATATATCCGTGTCTCCAAGGCTTGCCTACAGGTTCAAAACTATCCAATCCGACAAACAACAACTCATACGCTTCTGAAGTCACCCCAGAGCCTTCACGTAGAGCCAAGGTCGCGCAGCCACCTCGATGCCAGGCATCTGCAACAGCAGCTGAGCTGTCGGAACATAGCGCCAGGCGTTCCCGGCGTTCGCATTGGCTCGAAGTAATTCACGATGTCGAAGCACGTAGCTCCTGTAGGTGTCGTTGTGCTCCATGAGGAAATCGAAAGCCCGAAGGGAGGCGGGCGTGGGCAGCTGCTCCGTGACGTCCGCAGGCTTCCAAATTGCGCGCACCAAGGACTTCTTCTGTTTGGCCGTGACGCAGGCTTGCCCACCTCTTCGAGTAATGTAGTCCACCTTCAGGTCCAACGGAGCTAGACGTGCGGCATCTTCCTTGGGCAAGATCGTAAAGAAAATCATCCCAGCCGAGGGCGCCCTCGCGCACACAGTCCCGGAAAGCCTTCCAATAGCTGGCGTCCGGGGTCAAATACGCCTGCAGCTTGCTGCAGTTCTCTTGCTTGGCCGCCTCCTCCACAGCCGGAGCACGGGCCTCCAAACGAGCTGGGTCGGGGTCACATGTGGGAGAGCATGGACAGCAGACGGCGGCTGCCCCGTTGGAGCGCCAATGCAAGGAGCAGGTTCGCTTTGCCGTTCGCCGCCCGCGCCTGAGCTGCAGAAGAAAGAGCTATCAAGAAACCAAAACAAGAAAGCACATTGGCACTTAATTACCATGCTCTTGTGCCTCGAGCAGTACGTCCAGGAAGCGTGGCACATCCAGCCGCGAAACTCTTGCGCTAAAGGCATCTGGCTCAAGTGTTGATCAGGGAGCGCCAGCCGCTGCAGAGCCTTCGACGGAAAACCGTCGCTCGAGTTCCTGTTGCCAAGACGAAGCTGCGGAAGGCCGTTCCGCCTGAAGCTGAAGGCACTTCTTGTTATCGATGTGGCACGATGCCGCCATAGCCCGGCGGGCGCTGTGCGCTTGAGTCTCGGCTGACACATGTTCTCGAACTCGTGCACGAATTTTCTCCGTGTCGGCGGAACCCCATCGGCGCAGCGTCTTCAATTTGCGGCTGTCCCGAGAAGAACTTGGCTGCTAGCTCAGCTGGAGATGCGCCTTGGTCCTGCAGAAGCAACAGCTCTTCCATCTGACCTTGCGTCAAGCCATGACGCGTCCAAGGTCCCGATGATGCTTGTTGGTTGGCAGTCCCGAAGAAGGAGGCCGGCAAACGACGTCGCCTGAAGCTCCCCCGGCGGCCATCGCCCGCAGCGGCGGGTTGCAGTGCCTGCCACGGATCGTGCTGAGCAGGCCGCTCGCCCCGAAGCAGTGCCCAGTAGTGCTCAGCTCCGCGAACTCTTTCATCCAGGAAGAGGTAAATAGGTTGCACCGGTGCGCCCACCACGCCCAGGGCGGGCGCAAAGCATGAAGGCTTCTGTTCGGGCTCCATGAGCCGCCAAATGATCATGGGCCGCTTCAAACAGTCCGTCAACACCCGGCATGCCAATCCATCGCCCCAAAAACGGTCTTGCGCCATGTTCCGGCACCATTCCAGCACCTGCTCTCGACCGCAAGGAGGTAGGTATGGCGCGTAGCGCTCCCATGCATCAGCAGCACCAGCTGCGCAAATGGCTCGCAGCGCCACGTGGTGTTCTTCACCTTCAGGAACTTGACAAGCCGCGGCACGAAAGAGACAGTTGCCGTCGCCAGCAATGCCTCGAAGCTGCAAATGTGGGATCACGGCTTCTGCGTGCTCCTGTAGAAGCTCCTCGGCGGCCTCCATATCGATCGCTGCATCCAAGCCCACTTCACGCGCCATGGCGCAAACCACGAAGGCGTTCCTAGGACGAAGACCTCGAACACTGATGGAAGCTGAGCCGAAACACGAACATGCTCAATCTGCAAGACCTGCTGTCGCGCTAAACTCTCCACCTGCAAGAGCGGATGCGCAGCTATCAGCGCCGAGAACCAGATCCTACGACCGCCGCTACCAGCACGGTTTTCCTGCCCAGCAGAGAATGTCGAATATCTCTAGCGCACGGCAGGCCGAACAGAGCACTCTCGGCGCCCGTGGCACCGCCGCTCGCGCTACACGGTATCTGAAATGATTGAAAAAACAACGAAGTCAGCCGAGGATGATAGAGCTTCAGGAGCCGTTTGCAGCCTGCTGATCATTGGGAAGACCATCAGGGCGGCCCTCGCCAGCATTGGCTGCCGGACGACGCAGGACCGCCACACGCTGGCGACCTTCTGCTCGCTCGACTCGAGACTGGTGCGTGTTCATGAGGTCGGCGCCGTGGAACCGGTCAAGACGGCGCAATGCCAACTGGTATGCAGCCTGGTTCGTGTTCTTCAATCGCAGTAGTCCTGTTGTCAGGTCCTGTCCACAGCGGGATTCGAGAGCTGCTCGCAGGGACTCTGCGCCACAGTGGACACTGCCGACCAGACTCCAAGTCCAGGTTAAGCCCGAACGCCTGCTTCCATGGGCAGACGCCGTCGAAGCCGGCGCACAAAGAGAAGCGGCCAATGATATTCGGCATGGTTTCGAAATCCGAAAAACTACTCTCGTTCGGGCTAAAATGGAGAAATCAAAGCGCTGACAGCGAACAAAGCAAGTGTAAGGCACCGCGCAGATAGGCAGGAAGTGTGTGCAAGAATACATGCAGACTTGTGTAATGTCACAGCTCAGCACTGAGCACTGGCTCTGCAGGCACCTGGTGCGCACGGTCCCACGGACTAAAGCTTTGTTTTCCGCTGCGGCTTGGCCGACATCTATCCGCCACACCGGGGCACCAAGCCGATCCCAGACGTGCCTCATATGGCTCTGCTTATAGCCAGATGCATACAGTCGTCTCCGTGAAGAACTTACTGCCACAGGCAAACAAATGCAGCCAAGGCACATTCAGCAGTTTCAGGCATGCCTCAGATGTGCACAGGTTACTACACTCTAGTCCTGTTAGCGTACTGTGGCACGTCGCCCTCCGCAAGCTTGGACCGAAACGCTAGATGCTGCCGAGACACACCAAGTCGAGCCAGACTGTTTCTAGGCTTTTTACAGGATCTCCTCAGGCCCGATCACGAGAGCTATTTCAATTTCATGGTTACTTCCAGTGACCGCAAACGTGTTCACAATTGCAAGCTTAACGCGCCCCACCTTTGGAGCCTATCAGAGACTGGCCCCACGGATTTTCAATTTTCTAGATTCCAGCTTCTAACTAACCAGGATTTAGACTTCAGGTTTTATGAGTCTTATAGGATTACAGGAAGGGGTCACCAAAGTAGGAAACTTTGCTGTGCAGACTTGCAGCCAGGAGGCATAAATTTGGATTTTGGTGTTTCGTCCAAAACCTCCTGCGCAGACACCACTTCCCGAAGTGAAAACCCAACCGTCCCAAAACCATAACCGTTACCGAACGCAGGAGGTTTTGTAGGAGAACTCTCGCTCCACTAATAATTGTTTTGAAAAAATGAACCCAAAACCGGCCGCAGTACTTTGCCATTTCGTCGAAATTCATCGTTTAGAAGCAAAAATCACCG